ACCTTGGACGTGAAGCGGGCTCTCCTATTCTATCTCAACAGAACCCACCCAACTAGACGGGACTCACAACTTTTTGTCTCGTACGCACCGGCACGTCTGGGTACTCGCATCACAGCCCAGCGCCTGTCAAAGTGGATTGTAGGTCTAATCCATCTATGCTACCTACTCGCCAAACAGCCATTACCTGGCCCTATCATCCGTCTATGTTACCTGATCGCCAAACAGCCATTGCCTGGCCCTATCAGGGCTCATTCTACCAGGGCTGTCGCGACTTCCACTGCCTTCCTCCAGGGAGTGCCACTGACGGACATTTGCAAAGCTGCTACGTGGGCCACGCCTAACACCTTCATCAGGCACTACACCCTAGACGTCCGTAAGAACACCAATACCAGCATGGGACGTCACATTCTGTCTTCGGCTACGCAGTAAAAGACCTGCCAGCACCCGCCTCCAGGTAGGCTACTGCTCGCTAATCTCCCATGGGTGTGAAGCACAGAGACCACGTCAAAGATAAACAGGTTGCTTACCCGTAACTGGTGATCTTCGAGTGGTCATCTGTGCATTCACACCACCCGCCCTCCTTCCCCGCTGCTGTCAGCGTCTACATTTTTAATAGGGGTTGATTTGCGGCGGTTTGAAGGAACTGGCCTGATGTCCGCGCCCACCCCTCTGGGCATGCGCGGTGGGGTTCCTGCGCATGCCCGTGGGACTGGGCGTGAAAATCCGTCAAAAGAGCTTGCTACAGCACAGATCGATCCAGCGCGTGCGCACTAGATCCCATGGGTGTGAATGCAGAGATGACCACTCGAAGATCACCAGTTACTGGTAAGCAACCTGCTTGTCTGTAATAGAAACCAGTAGGAAACTAGACCTGGGGCGGGCCCAGTGGATGGCCACTCTCCACTCACCTCTGCGCTTCCCCGCAGGTCCAACAGCCTCCAGAAGCAGCAGGAGCTGCTGCGGCAGAAGCATGCCCAATACAGCCAGCGCTACGGCATCCGGCAGGAACCACTTCCACAAGCAACAGGAGCCTCGGACTCTATCAAGGACTCGGCTTCTCCCTTGTCTGCTGCCAAGTGAAGCCCAGGTCCTGGACTCGTGTCTCCCGACAGTTGGTGGAGAGTGTCTGAAGCCAAGTATGGAGGAGAGGATATGTGTGTGGGGAGGGAACTGTGGGCTGAGTGCCCCCCCCCGCTGCTCATCTGTAAAATAGAACCATGTTCCACTGTGAGAATTAGTCTCTGGCCATTGCTTTTATGGAGGGAGAAGCTGTAGCTCAGTGGCAGAGCACCCACTTTGCACGCCGAAGGTCACAGGTTCAATTCTTGGCAAAACTCCTGTTAGCTGACATTGGGGAAGACATATCTGTGCCTGAGGGCTTGGCAGCCAACCAGAGGAGAGCAGAGGTCCCTGGCCTTCTAGAGCCCACAGGCACCTTTGGAATTCTGACACAGTGCGGTGGGCGGAGCCACAAAGTGGCTGCCACGGGAGGCGGGGCCAGCCACAGAACAGCGGCCGCGGCTTACCTTCAGCCGCAGAGTGAAGGTCCTATGCACAGCCCATCAGATCTTCAGGGGCCAATTGGAAGCCCCACCCACTTTCTCTACACACTTGGCGGGCCCCAGAAAAGGTGTTCCGTGGGCACCGTGGCTCCCACAGGCGCCACGTTGGAGTCCCCCGGCGTAGAGAATACTGGGCCAGAGTCTTGAGAAAAAATAAATATAAGACAGTGTCTTCTTTTCGGGGAAACACGGTACTAGGCACCTTTCTGGGCCCCAGCCTGCTCCTTGCAGGACCTCCCCCCCCCCAATAAGCTCTTCCCCCATTGGACTTGGATTGGAAGCACAACCACGGAGGTCATGCTTATTTATGGCTTCTGCTCTGAAGACACACTGCTGTATTTGATGAATAATTAAACTGTGGAATCCACCAGCAGTGGAGGTAGCGATGCCCCCGGAGCACAGATCGCTTTAAAAGGGGGATTAGACAGATTCATGGGGGAGAGGCCCATCAGTGGCTGCGAGACACAGCGACTGAAGGGAGCCTCCATCTACAGGGGCAGGAAACCGGGAGGCAGCAGCAGGGGAGGGCCACGGCCTCTACACGCCCCGTTTGCCTGGCCTTCCAGGGCGACCGGTTGGCCTCTGTGTGCTAGATGGACCACTGTCTGATCCAGCAGGCTCTTCGTACGTTCTCTGGCGCCCTTTCCTCCCATAGCCAGACCCCAAAGAAGGCACCCCGGCAGGACAAGCTGTCTGGGCTCCGTCCTCTGAAAGGACTAGTCCCGCCAGCCTCAGTTCAGCTGTGGGGCAGGTGTCTCTTTCCGTCCAGTTCAGGAGCGGGGGGAGGGGGAGTGCAGCTCTGAGGCATGCCCAGGTGGGCGTGGGAGTGGGCTGGCTGGCGGAGAGTCTCTGCCGGGCTAGCCGCAGGAAGTCCAACCGCCCTGTCAGCATTCATTCAGGCAGTGTTTTCGTCAAACCTCTGCACTCCCCCCCCCCATTCCCAAAATAAATCTGAAGCAGCAACAGATTTACTTTTCAGACTCCTGAAGAGCGAGAATTACTCACCGAGGAGGCCCCCACCCCCCACCCATTTGCTTTTCTGCACAGTCACTGTCCGGAGCGCGTCACCTGACTGGAAGAAAACTAGCCCAGAGCAGGCAATTTACATAGAAACTCGGCAGGCGGCCTTCCATTATTCTGCTGCCTTCTTGTATCGGAAGTGATCCCATCGCACTTGCCTCCAGGCAGAGGTCCATCAGAGGAAAGCGAGGCCAGAACAGTGAATTGTACAGAGATGCAGCAAGCAACCCTCTTCTGAGTCGGGTCGTTCTCCTGTGGTCTCTGCACCGTGAAAGAACGGTCCTAAGCAGACATCTACTCTGAAGCAAGCCCCATTTTAGTCAGTGGGGCTTACTTCAAGGAAAGCATCTTTAGGACTGCAACCTGAGTGATCCAACCATACCCGCTATAGAGACGTCCTCTGGGGGTTATTGGAAGGGGAACAGAGCCCAAGCCAGCTGTTCATACAGGAAGCAGACTCAGCCCTCCTAGGTGGTTCTTCTATCTCTGCATCGGGAGCGATGGAACTGCCGGCCGATGCAGAGGCCTAGCAGAAGCTGATTGCTGTAGCCATGGCCGTCTCCCCTGACTCACACAGAGGCACACTGGGAATCCTCCTCTGAGCGGACTGGGGCTCTGTGTCCATGGGAGCCTTCAGTTATTTCACACATTTGTTTTTCCCCCTCAGACGTTTCTGGGAATGGCTAATCTGAAGCAAAGCATTGCTCACGGGTAGAGAGGGTGAAGTAAGGCAGGAGTCCCCAACCTTTTCGCGCCTGCGGGCCACCTTTGGGAGTCTGACACTGCGTGGTGGGCGCAGCTACAGAAATGCTGCCATAAAATGGCTGCCACAGGAGGCGGGGCCGGCCGGCCAGCCAGCGGCTCCCACCGCTTACGTCCCCTCACACAGTCAAGCTGCTTGAGCTGTGGCGGCAGCTGCTCCCAACCCAACATTTTTTTAAAAAGCCAAAGGTCCAGTGGCCCCTCAGAAGCCATGCTGGGCAAAAGCCCCACCCACCGGGCCCCGCCCACTTTCTAAAAACACGTGACAGATGCCGGGAAAGGTGTCAGCCGGCACCCACGGGCACCACGTCAGGGACCCCTGTAGTGGGGCTTTCTGGGAGTAATGAGGGATACAGATAGAGAATGGCAGAACAATCCCCGGGGGAAGAAATTCACAGATTCTGCTGTGATTGTGTGTGTGTGTGTAGGATTCAAGGCATTTAAAAATGATGTTTTTCTGCCTTGGGGGCCGTTTCCTCCAGAAAAGGGGGGGGGAGGCATCTCCTGGGGGGAGGAGAGGGAAAAGGACTTTGGAGGTGGCTAGGAGTGACGTGCATAGAGGATTAGCAAGACCCCGCTGCAATGGGAACTATGTGTGAAATGCAGGTTTAATCTTATTGTGCGCAAGGGCCTGAGCCACAAGACTCCTGCTCACAGCTTTCGGGTTGGGGGGGGGAGGAAGGAAAAGAGCACACCCCCACCACGGAGTATGCCTCACAACTCCCACGTGCCTTCAGCTCCCAAGGAAGGGTCTGCATACACTTGCGTTAAGCGTGTGGCAGGGGGAGATGCCGTGATGGCCGAAAACAGAAAAGAGTGGCGAGGAGAAGAGAAGAAGGGACAGACGTATTGAAAGGACACCCAGGGGATGGCTGGACAGGCTGAACGTAGAAGAAACAGAGCCAGCGTGGTGTACTGGTTGAGAGTGTCGGACTAAGATCTGGGAGACCCAGGTTCGAATCCTTACCCTGCCCTGGAAGCTCACTGGGTGACCTGGGGCCAGTCACATACTCTCAGCCTAATCCACCTCCCAGGATTGTTACCGTGAGGGTAAGATGGAGGAGAGGACGATGTAAGCCACCTAGGGTCCCATTTTGGGGAGAAGGGAGGGTTATAAAAGTAGATAAAATTCATGCATCTGAAGGTAGGTTCATGACCCAGGACCTGTCCAGCCCGTGCAAACGTCCAGAAAAGAACAGTGGCTCCCGTGTGGGGGGTTTGCTTGCTGGAATGCTTTCTTCTGTGCATGTTTCTGAAGTTCCCTGCAAGCAGAAAGCTAGAACATCAGGCTAAAAACGGGAGGTGAACTGGAGCTAGATTTGGGTGGGTAGCCATGTTGGTCTGAAGCAGCACAACGGGAGCTGTTTTCCTTGATGTGCCACCTTTTCATGTGCAGCTGTGATGCACTGCTGAATATACACTTCGTGGCAGACCCACGATGGTCTCTGTGTAAGGTGTGAAACCTGCACATACCATCTTTCTCCAAGTGTGTGCATTATAGTGACAGTGCCCCCTGCTGGCTGGTTTAGGATGCACTTTCCCACCAAATTGACATGACCTTGTTTGGGGGTGCAGCCCAGTTTCCCCAGATGTGACCACAGGATCTGGAATCCGCCACCCCTCTCTCAGACGTTTGACATGACTTTGAGCTGCCAATGAAGAAATGTTTTGGAGTCGACAAAGGGGATGGAAGGGACGGATGTTCATTTAAACAAAATAGGAAAAGATGCTGGTCTTCGGCAACCTGAACAGAGTACAGACTTTCCCTTCCTCTCCCTGATTCAACTTAGAAAGTATCCCACTGCAGCCACACCTCTCGCTCGTCATTTGCTGGATTCCATTTGCAACTGAAGAATTGTCATCCGTGTTTCATTACTGACCTGATAGGTGCTGGGGCTTAAACTTCAATTGGGAGTTGTGCCCCAAAACTGGAAGGGTCCCAGCCAGAAAGCCGGTGTGGTGTTCTGATCAAGAAGAAGAAGAGTTGGTTTTATACCCAACCTTCACTACCCAAAGGAGTCTTGGAGCAGCTTACAGTTTCCTTCCCTTCCTCTCCCCACTACAGGTACCCTGTGAATCAGGTGGGGCTGAGAGAGTCGTGAGAGAACTGTGACTGACCCAAGGTCACCCAGCTGGCTACATGCAGAGGAGCAGGGACTCAAACTCGGTTCTCCAGATTTTATTCCGCCGCTCTTAACCGCCACACCAAGCTGACTGTCGGACTAGACCCAAGTTTGAATCCCCCCTGGATGTCCTTGGGCCACTCACACTCTCTCAGCCTAACCTTTCTCACAGGGTTGTTGTGAGAATAAAATGGAGAAGAGGAGAACAATGTAAGCTGCTTTGGGTCCCTATTGGGGAGAAAGGTGGGGTATAAATGAAGGAATTAATTAAATAAAAATTCCTAGAGCCGTAAGCACAAAGTGTGGTTTTTGGTTTCTCAGGGTAATTTAATGGAGGGTCTAGGCCAGCAACGCAACATGCATAAAGCAGGCGTGTGTGCAAAAATACGCACGTGGGCCAGGGGGGATTTGTCCTTGTGAACCAAGACCCCTGTTCACAGGGACAGCTGCAGAAAACTATGTGCCCTTCAGCTGATACGGGGTATTTCTCATTAAAAAAAAATCCAATATATATTCACACACAAGGCAGTCCTTGTGGGCACTCTGCATATGTTCAAGGACACTGTTGTCCTCACACAGCCCAAGAATCAAGCCCTTGCCCGGGGGGGGGGGAGCAAACCCAGAGGCTCGTACCAGCGTCCGATGTTTGGTTTTTAGTCCATCCGGGTCAGGCTGCTGCCGTATGAATGAAACTCCGCTGGCAACCTTTCCTTCCCTCGAGTGAGATTCCTGTGCCAGGCTGAACGGGCTCACTTTGCTGGCATTGGTGCCAGGCAGAAGTTGTGACCTGCCGAGGACGGAACCTTTGGAAGCTGGGCATTCTTTTTCTGCAGGCGACCGGGGAGCTGTGCGCGCCAGTGCCAACCCTGGGCACAGAATAGCTTTCTGGTAATGAATTCCAGAGGGGTAGCCGTTACTTGCTGGCAGCGAGGAACAGAAAAGGAGCCTTGCGGCCTCTCGAAAAGCCCGCAGATTTATGGCTGCAGGAACGTCTGCCACAATCTGTTAAGTCTTTTAAGATGCTACAAGAAGGGTGGGTTTTTGTGGGTTCCCCCCTTCATTTCTTTAAACCGTTACTACCCATTTTGCCTCTGTGGTGCAGAAGGATCCGGGAAGGCCCTCTGCCAAACTGCAAGCTGCTCTTTTAGAAACTCCTAAAAATATTATTGCCCGAAGTGCGTGGGGGGCAGGATTTGCTGGCTCAATCTATCAACATAAGAACGTAAGAGAAGCCAATGTTGGATCAGGCCAATGGCCCATCCAGGCCAACACTCTGTCACAAGTGGCCAAAAATACCAGGGGCCATCAGGAGGTCCGGCAGTGGGGCCAGGACACTAGAAGCCCTCCCACTGTTGACCCTCCCCCCAAGCACCAAGACAGAGCATCCCTTGCCCCAGACTGAGAGCCCCCATCTATACCTTGTGGCTAATCGGCACCGATGGACCTCTGCTCCGTATGTTTATCCAGTTCCCTCTTGAAGCCGTCCATGCTTGTAGCCACCAACACCTCCTGTGGTGGATTATCCTGCCCTGCCTGAGAGTGATCAGTAGTGGTTAGAGCATTAGCTGAGGACTGAGGAGAGGGGGCACAAATGCCTCCTCTGCCCGGAAGCCCCCCAGAGGCCCCTGGGCCAGCCACTCTCCCAGCCCAGCCTACCTCACAGGCTTGTTGTGAGGATGAAATGAGGAAGGGACCTCTATGCCACCCTCAGAGAAAGGGGTGGGTAACGATGGCATAAACCGCTGCCATCTGCTTCCACTGCCCAGGCAGGACCGTCTATCCCACCCTCAGAGAAAGGGGTGGGTAATGATGGCATAAATCGCTGCCATCTGCTTCCACTGCCCAGGCAGTGCATAATGGGCCTATGGAGTTCAGTGGCACAAGATTTCATGGCTCAGATTGCACTAAAAGAGAATTCGAACTCGTCCAACCTCTTCACGTTTTTATCCTGTTCTTTGCCCGCAGAGTTCAGGCCACTGTACACCATTCCCCCTCCTCCATTTCAGCCAAACTTGAGGGAGAGGCAGAGAGGTCTACACAGAACCTCCTTGTCCAGCAGTGAAGGGCTGTTGCCTCCCAGCCCTGCTTTGGAGACTTAGGGAAAATATTTGGTTGGCCGGACCGGACTACATGGAGCCCCGGTCTGACCCAGCAGGGCTCTCGGGACAGAACAAAGCTAAAGGGAGCCTCCACGTTACAGGACAGTGCGCCTCCGTACCCCAGCATGCTAGGCAGCCCTTGGGTCACCTCCGGCGAGGGTCTCCCTTCCCAGTTAGCCGCCGTGGCGAAGGCGGAACCTCCACGCACAAGGGCAGTCTACCCCTGAACGCCGAGGCGCTGGGAAGACGAGCCGCGGGGCTGCCCTGCGGCGCCTGCCTGGAGGAGAGCCCCGAAGCCCCCTCCCCGGCTCTCCAAGGCAGGCGGCGGCGGCCTCCCCGCGCTCTCCCCCCCCCTTCCCAGCCGCCCGGCTCTCCCTCCCCTCCGCAGGGTGGGATTGGGA